AAAATTGAAGTGATTACAGGAGGATAAAATTCCTTTAGCACTTGTTGTTATTTTTTTCTTAACATTTTGTGTCTTATTTTACTTTACATATCCTTAAATACCTCTAATCTAAAGTCACTTTACATGGGGCTTCAGCAAATCAACTACATAATGAGTACTTTGCTGTCTTAATATTTTCTTGTTGGAGATATATTCACCTAAATATACCATTGATAAAAGGAAAAAAAAAAAACTAGAATAAAACAGTAAATAGTCATATTGGTTTGTGGAGTTGTGAAAAAATAGGCTGCAATAATATAGTTAGGTTTTTGAATCCAGTCCGTGACTCTCTGAATAACCTGTGTTTTTGTGTTGCCAACTGCAGTCCTAAACAGGTGTTTGTATCCCCCTCATTATTGTAATTGCTGACTGAGAATGCCACATGCTTCAGTCAAACAGGTAATGCCCTTGAGCAAAGTTTCATCTCCTACCCAAAAGTAGCCTACACCATCTGATTTCCCTGACAAACTCAGTGATAAAGTCACAATGTGGGCTCATATGCAGCAAGGTGCAACGTCTAACGTTACCCCATAGAGATTCAGGCAGTTAAACCTTATTTATTTTTAAATATTCATAACATTTCAACTGTATTATCCCCCTCAGACTTATCCCCGCCAATGTATACTTTAATTCCCACCAATACTAGACTCAACCTGAGGGAAAACCTGTCCAAACTTATACACAGCTGTGAACTTGGACATAATCAGTGGACCAAACTTACCCTGATTCAACACACGTGTCACCACAGCCAGGTTGGGGTAGCTCCTCTGAGACAAAGTCAGGTGATCCATCTGGAAAAACTTTTCAAACTTAGCCTTTAGAAAAACTGTTAAACGTTATTCCTTATCGTTAAAATAAGAAAGAGGCCCTTTGCTCTAAAATCTGTGCAAAATTAAACCGCTTTTTACAGCTTCTCCACAGCCAGGCGGGTGTTAACGGATGTTAGCTTTAGCTAGCTAGCTAGCTGTTAGCGTTAGCACGGTATCCGGCTGGACATCACGCTGGACTCACAGACACAGACCGACGATATTTACCGATTATTTTCTTTTACCGTGGCGATATTTTCCGTGATGATATCGGAAACAACTGCCCCTGCCTATTGTCTGCTGTCCCCGCTGCTGTCCCCGCTGCTGTCCCTCCGACTGTCCGCTCACTTCACCTCCAGAACGAACAACAACATGGCGCCACCTGGCGGAAGTAACTGGAATCAGGATCAGGTATTGCATCACATTACATTACATCACATATAGTACACACAGTTTCCAGATTAATAAGTTCACCTAATTAAAACAACAGCTGTGAAATAGATCTTACCTCTATGACAGTTATAATGTTTTGTTGATACAGTTTTACAAAGCTGTTGGTTCAAATTTATGGTTATTCGTAGTTTGTGGTGCTGCTAAATTGTGTTGCAATATACTGAGAGGTGTGTCCAGTATTTGGTCTGCCCTCATTGGTATAAATGGATGGACAGTATATTAGAAACACCTGTTTGAAACACCTGCAGCCTCCAAAATGACCACAGCATTGAATTAACAGCTCTGTAAGGCCACAGAACATGATAAACCTCACTAAGGTAAGATTTATTGCACATTATTTAAATCTTAATCTCTACTGGGTCTGATTACATCACATATTAACATTAATATCCAGTTTTCTTATATCCCCCCTCTTAAGTAGCTTTAAAGTTGGAGAGATCAACTGTTCAAAAGTTGTCAACTATGTCTAAAAGTATCCAAATGCACGAACACATCTTGTGCATCATGTTATACACAAGTCCCCCAAATTCACCCTAACACTTTGGATATCTTTGTAAAATTTGCAGTACCCACTGGAATTTAAAATAATGGTCTGTGGGTTTGAACAATGTTAAGCTGCGCACATGGATGGATTACTGACCGAGCCTACTGGGCACAGGCCCGGGCATCGAAAGTGGCAGGGGCCCCACCAGTCTTCACCTGCAAAATGACACTTAAATGAACACATACTGACCAGGTAGAGAATCATAATGACTTCAAAGAGACTCAAAATGACTGCAAAGAGACACAGAATGACTCCAAAGAGACTCAAAATAACTGTAAAGAGTCTCAAAATGACTACAAAGAGACACAAAATGACTGCAGAGAGAGAGAGACAGAATGACAGCAAAGTGACTCAAAATGACTGCAAAGACACACAGAATGACCACAGACACAACATGACTGCAAAGAGACAAAAATGTCTGCAAAGACACACAAAATAACTACAAAAAGACTCAGAATGACTCCAAAGAGACTCAAGATGACTGAAAATAGACACAGAAATACTGCAAAGAGACTCAAAATGACTGCAAAGAGACAGAGGATGGTTTCTGAGTACTCGTAATGTAGAGACATTACGACTGAGCAGATAAAGAAATGTATTGTTTATTTCACTTAGTTTGGAGTGTCTTACATTTGAAGTTGTTTTGTGTAATTTCACCACAGCTTATATGACCAGGAGAAGACAACATTTCAGTTGCATCATCTGTAAACAATTCAAAACTCTGATAATATCACATCTGTTTTATAAATGTATTTTAAAGTTTCTTTTCATAAGTAAGGCTAGTCTCTTTATGATAGATTGACTTATAATATGGCCGTTCAGCCAGATGTGCGTGTTTGCGTGTATGAGCGTTTTCTTTGCTGCTGTAAACAAATGATCTTAGTATATATTTCCACACAGGTGAGATCTAAGTTTTTGAGGAAAATTTGTTTTTGGTCCTTCATGAATAATAAAAAGAGGGAAAAAAAGGGAACAGTAAAGAAGACAAAGTCTTTGTAACAAAACACTGTCTTCACAGTTACAGTGTTCACATACCAGATGTGCAATTGGAAGACAAACATATCATATGTCCATGGATTGTAGCTGCATTGTACTCCCTTGTTCTTCTTCCTCAGCCTGTGAAGACAGATTTCCCATCAACAAATGCTGCCCTGTTGTCTCCTCCAGTGAATGACATGAGGCGACAGTTCAAAGAGTAACAGCGGCCATTTTGTCCACCTGATTCTGAATATGAGTGTTCGAGTGTCTCCACCACAACCCTCGGTGTACTTCATGTACCACTCTCTTGTTCTCCACAGCTGTCCTCCCGAAGCCCACAGGCCCCACTGATGGCCTCGCCCAGAGAGTTGATCAGAGACCTCAGACCGATGAGGTAGCCGTCCTCTCTGTTCCCCTCGAACCACGGGACATCGTGTTGGAGCTCGGTCCTGTCAGGCACCGGGGTCGTCTTCCCAAAGTCTATCATCCACACGCAGGCCTTACTGCTGTGGTCGTGCACAAAGAGAAGCGAGCTGCCAATCACCTGATCAGGTCAAACATATAAATATATGCAGATTCATTATAAGAATATGAAACTGGATCAGCAAAAAGACATCTGGGCCCAGTTTTTCAGAAGTAATCTGATCAGATTACGGCTATTGGATTGGATCAAATCCAAAATATAGGTTGTTTTAAAGAGGGGAAAAAAGGATTACATCACACAATTCAGTTTTGCGTTGTTCAAAACGTTTTTAGTAAGATTGGGATACCTTTGATCCAAAAAATCTGATTTATCCTAATCCCAGCAGAAGGGTGGATTCATGGTGGATCTCAGGGACAAAATGTATTAAAACTTTTAAATTCGTCAAATATATATATATGTACATTGATTTATATTTTACACTTGATTTGTTAAACTGTTACAGTGTATGTAGATAAAGTAGACATTAGGCTATCTATTAAGCCTTTCAGTAAAATAAAGGATTTTTTTTTTTTTGTCATGAAATACCCCCCAATTAGCTGTTAATATCAAACAAAAATTACCTGATTTTAACCTTCATTTAAACTTTTATAATATTCACAGTGGTATAGTCAAGTAGTTTCTAACACTGCACCCCCTCATACTGTTTTCTGTCTCTTCAAATAAAAACACATGACCCTAAGATGCCTATGCAACCTGTTGTTTTTTAGCTAGTAGCCCACATTGTAGTATGTAATCCCATTTGGAGCTCTGGTTATCCGGATTTGGTAATCTTGAAAAGATTATATCTGGATCAGGGTGATCAAATCTAATGTTGCTTTGAAAAACGGATACAAAAGTAAGATGGATAAGCTGATCCTGGATAGCAAAACATGGGATTTCCAAATCCGGATCATTCTGATCCAGATACTTTTTTTTTTTTCAAACTGGGCCGTGAGCTCAATGTGGTCTAATAACTTATTTTAATTTTCTCATGTTTTATTTTGAATAAATTATTTATCTTGTTTTCAATAGCTGCTATTTTGACTCCATGATTTTCACTTCATGTTAAGATGATTTAAAACATTATAAGCAAGTTAAGATATGTATATGTGTGAACCAACCTCATGGGTTTTGAAAAATGGTGAGTTCTTCAGAGCATCTCTCAGGGCCAGGAGTCTGGTGTGGTAGGCTTTCTGAAACCACAGATGGGTGGAGTTGTGGTTTAGCAGACATAAATAGCACACTTTACAGGTTGAAAGATTAATGTAATCCACTGAGGAGAGTGGAAATAAAAAAAAAATAAAAAAATAACAGGAAGTCTCTGTTTTGCTTGTTCAATGTCATTTTATTTTTGTGAATGCTTGTTGTTAGTCTAGTTTTTTAATCAAATCTTAAATTAAAAAGTTTTAAAAGACAAAGCCTGTGTGGATTGTTGAGGTAATTTTGTGATAACTATCTTTAGACATGCACAGCAGACATCAGTGCATTGATTATGTATAAGAAGCTAAATATGGTTTGATCATGGCTTTTAACCCACAGGGCAGCAACTGGGGACACATAAACTAAAGAAATATCTAGTGTTAAGTAGTAGTAGTATTTTTCTATTGGGTTAAGTCATTATTTTTTAATCTGTATTTCCTTGATTGTTCAGATTTGTGTTTTTTGTTTTGTTTTACTAATCAAAATCTGATTCAGTATTGGGACCTGTTTTCTTAAAAAAAAAAAAAAAAAAAGTAGTGTAATTTATGTAACGGTGTTTCTATGACAGACAGCACTGACCAGGATGTCCAGCTGACTCTTGGTGAAGTAGAGCATTGCATTTGTGACCTGATCTGGAGTCAGAATTTTCCTGAGGTCCCGTTGGACACTGCCGTCCTCCATCTGACTCACAGAGAGCGAAACACAACAACACAGATATGGGACATTTGAAAACTTACAGAGAATCAAACAGTTGACATAACTATGTATTTTTGGGTAACACAAGTTGTGCAGTGATTTGACTGGCCTACCATGATGCCCTCTATCCTGAGGCCCAGCGTGGATGTAGAACTGGTTGTGTCCCTCCACTGAAGGTATCGAAACTTGGTCACCCCTCTCTGTGCATGCTCCTCTGCTGACGGAGCTGACGGGTCTACTTTCACCATCTTCTGGTACATGTCACTCCTCAGGGTGGCATTAGTGCGAGCTTTGATCAGTTCGTCCTCCTGGTATGTCCTGAGAAGAAAACTCTAGTTGGGCATAATAGCATACTGATTTCACCTCTCAGCCCCTCATGTAAGCACAAGTACACTCATTTCTACAGTGTTTGTGTATAAACCTGCAGGACTGTAACCTCTGGTAGAAGGAAACAATTGCTCTCAAACCTACCTGACTCCCATCTTGCAGTCCATGATGACAGGTCTCCTCAGGCCGCTCAGCAGGTCCTCCAGGCGGATGTAGCAGTGCTCCCCCCTGGTGACCAAGCCATGATACTGCGGGACAAAGGGTCTCAGCGGGTCGCTCATCAATAACTCAAGGCACTTTGCCTCCACCTCACTATACAGTTTCAACACCTCCCCTCCCTCACTCAGCTGGAAGTTACCTGGTGACAGCAGCAACAAAACGGACAACAGGAAGCATATTCACCATCCACGTGTTTAATAAAAGTAAAGTCAAATAACCTAAATGAACAGTCAGGTCTTTATATTGTGGACCTCAATGAGTTGAAAAGACTTAACTCAGAGATTCTTGACTTAATTAAACATGTTCGAAAACCCTTAAAAACACACTGAATAAATTCAAAGTGTATAGTGGTAAAACCAAAAGAGATGACATCCCGACATTCTGGAGATAAAATGTTTCAATGTATGTGAGCTTTATCCTGTATCTAAAAGTGTAAGGATATTTCTGAGTGCCTTTATGTGTCTGTTTAAGATGAACATGCCTTGATGTCCAGCCAGCTGGACCCAGGAGCTCTGCCGCCGCAGCGACCAGTGCATCATGGTCAGGTAGGTTTTCCAGGAACGGCTCTGAGGCAGAAAAGAAGAGCATGTTGATGTCTTAATGTGAGATAAACAGGGTTTGCAGCCTGTCCCAGCATGCATTGTTTTTCAAGAAGCGGTTTACATCTCTGACAGGTCAACAGGCGTGAAGCATACAGAGAATTTCTGCATGCATTCAAGTGGAAAAGCCCCAGCCAGCTAGCAGGGTTGAACCAGGGCCTTGTTGCTGTGAGGTGACAGTGCTCTGTCACTGTGCTGCTGACCTGTCATACTTCTGGATATGACCACCTCCTTATGCTCAGAAGTATAAGGCTCCCATGTATAGGGAGTTCTGTGTGAATTTTTTGGTCTGCTAAAGCACTTTTCCATCCTCTACTCCTGAACAGACCATATTCACAGCAAACATATCAGCTTGTCACAGAAGGAAAATCACAGGTTTTACAAACAACAATGGCTCTTAACTGTTCAAGTGTTTTACTAAGCTATGAAAGTATAACCCAGCATGCACAATACCAGGACCCTGAAACAGAAACAGGTAAATGGCATGCAACCACTTTTAATTTCATTATTTACACCTTTGCTTTTCCTACTGTGACAAAGCAGCTCAATGCCATTCCTTAGACAAAAGCATCTGCCAAATGAGGAAATATAAATGTAATTCTGCAGTCTTTGATTTCTCTCTTTGAGGAAAATGTGATAAACCATATCATTAAAGCGACATAACTGTCAAGGTATAAACACTGTTTGTAAACACAGAAGGCACTGACACTCAAAACAGTTTTTGACGTGCATAAAGGACCTAAGAGGTATAAAAATATACCCCCAAAAATTCTCTCAGTCAGAGGTATAATTTCAGAGAATGGTTGGCTTTACAGGGACAGTTCACCCCAAAATCAAAAATACATATTTCTTCTCTTACCTACAGTGCTATTTATCAATCTAGATTGTTTTGGTGTGAGTTGGCAGGGGTTGGAGATATCAGACGTAGAGATGTCTGCCTTCTCTCTAATATAATGGAACTAGATGGCACTCAGCTTGTGGTATGTGCCTTAAAATAAATTTGAAAGACTCAACAGCAATGTCTCTTTCCAGAAATCATGATCCGTTTACTTAAGATAATCCACAGACCTTGTTGGGAGCAGTTTCATGTAGGAACATTTTTCTTTCTACTGAACTACACCCGCCAACTGTATCACTGCACAGACGGTGGCATGCATCTCCTAGTAGCTCACTTAGCACCACTGAGCTAGCTAACATTATAGCTCAGCCGAGGAGGACACCATGAACGTTTACATCTCATGCTGTCACAAGCACGAGCCTCTCGTCCATGAGTAGATGCACGCTTCCTTCTGCATGGTGATGCAATTTGCGGGTGTAGTTCAGTAGAAAGAAAATAGCTCCTACATGAAACTGCTCACAACAAGCTTTGTGGATAATCCTAAGTAACCAGGTCATGATTCCTGGAAAGAGACACTGCTGCTGAGTATTTTTAGCACCACAAACTGAGTGCCATCTAGTTCCATTATATTGGAGAGAAGACAGACATCTCTATGGCTGATATCTCCAACCCCTGCCAACGCACACCAAAACAATCTAGGGTGATAAATAGCACTGTAGGTAAGAGAAGAAATATGTATTTTTGATTTTGGGGTGAACTGTCCCTGTAGAGCCAACCATTCTCTGAAATTATACCTCTGACTGAGAGAATTTTTGGGGGTATATTTTTATACCTCTTAGGTCCTTTATGCACGTCAAAAACTGTTTTGAGTGTCAGTGCCTTCTGTGTTTACAAACAGTGTTCATACCTTGACAGTTATGATCTGTTTTGTATATACACAAAACAGCTGCCACCAAACACAGACATGGCTGCTGAAAAACCAAAAAACCAAGGGAAACAAAAGTTGACCTGACCATGCTCAGTAGAGACACTCACAAAATGACAGGTTTCAAGCTTGAATAAAATGTCTACACTATACAATATTTAAGACATAGCCCTTTAAATTGTAGATGTTTGCATCCTAAATGTTCCTATTTTGGTCACAGAGATTAAATATTTTGAAGATGCTTATTTCTCAGTCTTGTGTGGTGCTCTTTATTCAGTCCTTACAGGTTCACTGTGTCTGACAATGCAGAATGCAGACTGTGCTGAGAGAGTCTCTAGTCCTCCTACCACCATTTGCTCCCCTCTACTCTCATATCTGTGGCAGCCGCAGCGGCAGCAGCAGCAGCCAGGCATGCAAACACCATTCAAATCTGACCTTGTCAAAGTCCTCTTTCAAGCCCATGCAAATCACCATGACCACAGGTGCAAAGAACAGTTGAGAAATATAGTTCTAGTAAGCCTCTTCCATGGAAAACCAGAGCAGCCACATGCACAGGTGTGATAGCAGTACTATGATATTTACTATGATACACACCAAAATGAAAAACTTAACACCACATCTGTTCATTCTCACCTTCCTGAACGCCCTCCTCTTTGAGCCAACATCCTCTCCTTCGCTGAAGACCTCATCGCTCTCTGCTGAGGAGAGGTTGATGGAGGAGCTGGAGGAGGAGGTGGAGGAGTGCAAAAGCTTGGAGAGAATTGGATGTGGGGAGGACCACTGATGTGTTGCGGAGCCGCCTCTCAGCTCCTCGGCCTCTTCATCCATCCCCTCTGGGGTCACCTTGTTCTCCTCGTCTTCTTCCTTTGTTGCCAAAACTCTCTTCCTCTCTGTATCCTCCTCTTCTTTTCTTTCTTTGTCCAAACTGGAGTCTCTATTTCTCCTGTGTTTCAACTCACTGCTCATGCCCCCCTCTTCATATTCCCACGCCTCTCTTACAGTCTCCTCTACCCTTCTTTTCCCGCTCCACCTCACCCTCTCCCATCCGTCTGTATCAACCTCATGGCTCCCACCTAACCTCTCCCTCCTCCTCAGCCTCCATTTTAACTTCACTTCATCCCTTGCACATCTTGGGATCAATTCAATGTCCTGTTTCTTTTCCGTGCCTTGAATGACCTCACTCCTGTCTTCCCTATTCACTTCGCTTGATTCTGAATCGAGCTCATTGTCCTGCTCCCCGTCCTCTCCAAGTCCACCTATACACTGACTGTAAGGGGGGAAGCTTTTTGTGGACTGGAGTTTGGGTCTAGATCTCAATCTGACTCTCCTGCAGCTGCTGGAAGGCCGTTCACTGATTGTCAGATGTCTGTCCGTCTCCTCTGACAGAGTGGCAGAAAAGTCATTATCCATAGTTTGGTTTTTCTCTGTCTCCATCTCCATCTCCTCCATGTGGTTCTCATCTGTCACCATGTCCATCTTCGAGTCCAGTGGGTGAGCGTAGGTGTTGAATCTACTCCATGAGCCCAACGCATGTGCTTTTACAAAACAAGGAAATGTTTACAAGAGTTGTACAGTTTGAATAGGCTTGAGGAAATTAGTTTATACAAGTCTAAACCACACTCTAACACATCCTCAACAATAACTCTATGCTCTTTTCAAAGGACACAAATGAAGATATAACACTATAAAGTATAACATGTGTCTCACTTACTTCACCTTACCTTTGTCCTCCACCTGTTGGAAAGCTCCGTGCCTGTCAGTGAGCTACATCCCTCTCTCATTATCCCTGCTGATGCCGTATTTTGCATGCAGTGACATCATTAAGTTTCCAAAACTAAAACAGCTGAGAGGACATCCAAGAATGACCCTGTGTCAGAGAGCAGGGTGGAGATAGAGTAACGTGCCCTCCCCCCAAATATATGAATGGATTTGTGGATTAACTGTTTTGGGGCAGTGTTTACGGACTGCACAGAAGATACAAACACAAAGAAACAAACAGTCTGATAAACATTTTTAAAGGTTTTATTGCAACAGTTAAACAGAGTGAACTTAAGAATGGATTTGCAGCCATGTTAAACACATTTTGACTGAAAATTCAATCAATTCAATATATTTTTGTGTAACAGAAAGAGATGCACAGGTTGACAAAACTATTTTGACAGTCTTGATTGTCTTTGTTGATTGATCTCCTGACAAAACATTTGTCTGTGTCAACTCAGCTTTCTACTTCAGTTGTGTTGTTGCACTCTCTGCACATTTGACAGTGTTGTTTTGCATGTTGTCCTGATGTGTCGCCTGAATGTTAATGTGTTCTCCATGTTGTTTCACTAGCTTATTATAAACCGGTCTCATTGCATTTTGTGCAGTTTAACAACCAATAAAATCAGGTTTGGATTTCCTAAATAAGTTAGTGGAATTTAGTTAGCTTGTTAGCTTATTAGCACAGTCAAATGACAGGGAGCACAGGACACTAGGATGTAAGGTCCAGCAGTATTGGTATTATATTGATACTGTGATATTAGAAGAGATATCGACATAGATTTTGGATATCATAATATTGGAAGTGTCTTGTCCTGGTTCTAAAGGCTGCATCACAGGAAAATGATGTAATTTTCTGAACTTACCAGACTGTACTAGCTGTTCTAATATTTGCCTTTACCCACTTCTTCATTACATCCACATTATGGATGATGATTATTTATCAAAAATCCATTGTGTAAATATTTTGTGAAGGCACCAGCAGTCAGTGCTTGTCGCAATATCAATATCAAGGTATTTGATCGAAAATATATATTGCATACAACATGCAAAAACAGTGTGCAATAAGACAACTGGAGTACAGTTTATGGTGGAAGTGACACAGGTGACACGTTTTTTTTCAGGTGACAATCAGATTGTTAAAATAGTTTTGTTCCGACTGAAGTGCAGTTAAAGGTTGAACATACAAAGACAAATGTTTTGTAACATGTTCAGCTGACAGACACATTGATCAAGTATCAGGTTTTAAGCATTTTAAAGTAACATTTCAGCCAGTATGAGAGTTATAATCTACACACAGCTCCACATTCTTACATCCTGAAGCCAAAAGAAGTTGATGGAATACATAAAAAAAGACCCCAGATAAAATAATGACTCATAATAATTAGTGGATGATTACAGTGTCATGCTTATCTCACATACTTTATTTATTCATATAGGTATTTCCTTGATAGTGTCTTATGTGTTTATTTGATATTGGACAGTTTTAGTGGACACTACATCACAGCTATGAAGTGCAAAGCAATAAAAAGGCTCTGACAATGAGAGATTTGTGTGAGGTGACGAAGGCACAGGTGAGTCTATCCCATAAATAATAGGGTCATGTGATTAAAAATGAAACAGTGTGAGTGTTAACACAGAGGACATGATGTAAGAGCAAAAAGATCCACAACTCAAACAGTGCAGCTCAGGTCGTCACCCGACATATTTGTCAGAGGTGTGTGGGTGCTTTCTGAGTCATTTTCAACCACATATCTTGCTTAAATCTTCACTACATCTTATCGTTCCCTACACTTTACCCCTCTCTGTTATTAATGTCCTCACTCTGCCTCTGATTCATTTATTCAATGTGAGGCTGAATCTGTCTGTTCTGCACCTCTGTGCCGCCGTCTGAGATCAAATGGAGCCTCTCCTGACTCGGATTTGTGGGGGTCATCTGGAGGGGACCCAGCAGCTCTGCAGCACCTGTCAAAGGATTTGTTCTTGTAGTGACTGATGCAGATGACTTGAATAATGTTGAAATTCCCTACACTTGTGTTTTTGTACCTGCAGCAGCGTCTTTTTCATCCTCTTGCTGGTTGTTGTTCACGTTATTGCCCCTATCTGACAGCAGTCCATCTGCTCTGAGCTGTAAACAAAGAGGAAAACAATCACTCGGAGCTTGCTGAGACTGAGCTACAGCACCTGAGAGGGATCAGGTCATATTTCACACTCACTTAAACACCAAACTCATGAAGTGTGCGCAGCCCTGCAGCTGTAGTTAAACATTGTCTCTCCTCTCACCTGTTGCGGCCCCCACTCCTCTCCCAGCAGCAACCTCACGTAGCTGAGGACGAAGAGGAGACTGAGGAAGATGAAGTTACTGGACACGCCCACCAGGGCTGATAGGGTAGGGAAGTTGAACAGCAAGTATCTGACGTGGAAAAACAAAGAAAAGAGTTGTTATGGGATGCCAGTAATTATGATGAAAAGGCTGCAGTTATCCCACTTTCTCTCAGTTTGACTTCTGTGCCAGGAAGTTTTTTTTTTTCAGTCATTTCCTCCAGAAAACCACAAAGAAAACATCTGAGTGTGATGCATTTACTCCACTGTGGGCTGTTAGTGTAGGAGGAGACATAAAAAAGTGAGTTTTTCCAGTGAAGAAATGAGTCCTGTGGTTACAGTCGTTGTGTTAATGAGGCTGCTGTCAGTGGAGAAATTTATGTGTCTTCATCCTCTGCGATACATTTTCTGTCAGTGCTAAGATAATGATGCTCTTCCTCTTTTAAAAGGTCACTGACATGTGGTGTTTAATGAGATTAATAACTCATTCTCTTGATAGTAGATGGAACAAATATGAAACATGTCAACGTGTTATATTGTAGAAATCTGGACAACTAATCACAGTAACTGCAGCCTCACTTTGTGCTGTACGTTTAAAGATTATAGATTTTTTTAATCATGATGTACACATCTTACCTTAAACCAGTGAAGTGAGCATGAATGTTGAGCTCAGAGGAGTAGATCTGCACCTTGTTGGACAAGATCTCAATGAGGGCCGTGACCGAGGGGGCATACTGTGCACATGAAGACAAACCTATGAGATAGACATCCCAGCCCACTGACACATGCCAACACATTCATAAAGCAGAGCAGGACTCACAGGGTCGTCCGTGTAGTCTGAGAAGAGCTCCACCTCCAGCACTTGTTTCTGCTCAGCGACACCGGTCAGAAAGGCCGGGAGGAACAGCAGCGTTCCCAGGTACCTCAGCAGGTCAGATCGGTATCGCAGCATGCTCTGACCACAGCAGGACAACAGAGTCATACACACAACACAGGGCTTAATTCAGTCTCCTAAGGATTCATTAATCTGCTCTTTCCTTACAAATGTATGATGCCATATCCCCAGAAGATGTTTTCACTGATATCATGATGAATACTTCCGGAAGGGTGACTGATGTTGTCATTGATGGAACTCAATGATTTGTGCCCAGTTAAATTAACACTAGCAAAAGCTGATCTCAGTGGACTCAAAGAAGCTCAGTTTTTGTTTAAACCTGACGTCACATTTTGAAGTTTTGAAGCTGTACTTTGTGACAGAGTATTTTGTGATGCTGATCAGTATACTTTATATTCAAAACATCTTATTATTCAATGCACAAATATCACAAGCCTGTAAAACTACCATATCAACACCTCTCAAATATAGTGCCAGGCTTCAAAAGTGGTATTTATTAGAACACTGGTTCCCAATCTGAGGGTCCAGCCCCCTAAATGAGGTCCCTAAAGCTTCATGGTGGGTTGTGAGGCCTTAATTTTAAGGGTTGTAAGATAAATTTTTCTAAAAATACACAGTAGGTCTATACTTCAGCATTTCATTACATTCTGCAAAGAAAAATAAAATTAATTAATTGTTATTTCAGTAAGGGCCTGTTGAAGACCTAAACACAAGCTATATTGACAACCCAGTCTCATTCCGCAGTCGTTGAATACCAGCGCAGTGACTTCCACGTCAGACACCAACAAAAAAAGCCATCCTTCATGTAGGCATGATACGCAGCCAGGCGCTGGTGTCAGCGGGAAACGTGGCTGAACGACAACATAAGTTAAGGGCAAAATGTCCAACTAGGGTGAATGGGAACGGTGGTGGATGGGTCCAGCCATCACCAACTTTCGCCTTAGAGGCCAGAGTCCGCTTCCTGTATGACTGTAAAGCCAAACCCAGTTTTTTTTCTTAACTTAACCATGTGCTCTTCTTTTGCCTAAACTTCACAACATGCGTGTTAGCTAAATATAATCACGTGTGTTTGCTGTTGAAAGAAAAAAATGTAAATTTGTGGTGTAGTACCGACGTAGTGTGCTTACTTTGAAAGAGACTTTATGCAAACTGTACATTTCCTGTGAAAACAGAAATGTGTTTTGAAAAGACACAATGCATGTAACAGGCTCAAGTTGACACAGCGTCCCAGAATGTCAACAACAGACGGACCCAGGCTACCTTGCACATTAAATCGACATGAAAAGTCCACGACCAAGCCTCAGAGTAGAACACTGAATTTGTCAAAATAAAAACCACTTTTAAGTATGTTTGATTGCTAGAAATGAAAGGAAATACACAATGTCTGCTTAAAATCCATAGAAATGACTCATTTCACACAAACTTCCTGCAGTTACTGCATCCATTGTTTCAGTTATTTGTACTGTTTACCAGCTGTTCTGTATTGTTACTGTTATGCATGGCATATGATATGAAATATCCATAAAATATGTCACTTAGTCAGGGGTCGTCAGTTTACTCAGCATTAGATAACGGGGCCCTTAACAAACAAGGTACTTTTTTTTTTCCAGATCACTCAGTGTTTAATATAGTAGTCTTCTTACTATATAATGACAAAAACTCTGTCTGTCTGTGTGTCTGTTCCACATTTTTCTCCTCACTGACTTGGTCAATCCATGTGAAATTTGGCACAGTGGTAGAGGGTCATGGGAGGATGCGAATGAAGCAATATTACATCAATTGGCCAAAGGGGGGCGCTATAGCAACCGATTGAAATTGCAAACTTTGAATGGGCATATCTCATGGCCTGTATGTTGTAGAGACATGAAACTTTGCACAGAGATGCCTCTCCTCATGAGGAACAAATTTGCCTCAAGAACCCGTAACTTCCGGTTATATTGATTTTCCTCCATTTTGAATTTTTTGAAAAACACTTAAATTGAATCTCTTCCTAGGAAGTTTGACCGATCTGCATGAAACTCGGTGAACATAATCTAGGGACCAATATCTAAAGTTCCCTCTTGACAAAAGTTGGAAAACTTACTAAAACTGAACACACATAATCTGAGGGGACCCCTCCATTATTGACCCCATCAAACAAAATGGGGCGCTAGAGAGCTAATTTCTTATCTAGGCCTAACCGCCATATGAATTTTTACTAAACTTGGTAGATATGTAGAACAGGACGCCTCAAGGTGACTGGAGAAATTTAACTCTAATTGGCAACTGGGTGGCGCTATAACAACAGAAAAATGCTTAAAAATGGCTAAAATGCGACCGATCGCTGTGGCTCCCCCTGTGGCCGATTGTTTTTTTCTCTTCTAATTTTTGGTATGACTAAGTCATGGTATGGTATGATGTACATAATCACGGAAACTGTCAGTGTGTCATTCTGTCTGTCCCATGTTTTAAAACTACACATAGGCATTGAGGATTGGCATAGGTAGAAGGTGACAAAGCTACCAATGGGTATGGACTAGTTAAAGTTAATGATGGCTGCCCTTACATATCTAAATTCACTGGAAAAGCTTTCCTCCCATCATGTATTTGTTGTATCAGTCACCAGTTCACGTGTTCATCCTGCCAGCTCAGTCACCTGAGCACTGAGATCACCTTCTTTTGCGGTGGAGCTCTGCAGCAAGCATAAGCAGCCCTAATCTGGCTCTGACCAGGCTGTGTGATTAAAAGGTTAATGTGCGTCAGCGCTGTACTCACAAAGCGAGAGCTGGTGGCGGACAGCAGCTGTCTTGCCTGAGAAACACACAGCAATGCAACAGTGAATCATTGAGTTTGCAGGATCTAGTAATGAAGCAGTATTTGATTGTTTGTACACATGTGGCCACATGGGAGCTAAAGAAATCAGACACTCACAGAGCGAGCAGAGGAGGCAACTTTCCCCCCATCCCGAGAGAAACAGGTTGTCTTGATCATGAACATCCCCAGATCCTGATTGGTTGGGGAATCAGGCATCTCCAGCCGTAGAGACATCCGATAGGCCTGGCCGAATGTCAGAGCCTAAATATAAAGTTTAAAAAGATTACACTCCTGGGAATAGACACAGATACATACACATACACACGCACACATTCATACATACATGTTTCTTATTCCTCATCAGAGAGACGTTTGCCACTGGATAAGAGCACCAAAAAGATGAAGGAGATTCACAGTCTGTCCTGCACACATAAATATGAATGACTGAGTGACAGTAAATAGTAAATAGCACAGGAATCAAACACAGCTGGACAGGAGTTCACACACACACACACACACACACACACACACACACACACACACACACCTGTAGTAGTAGTGCACAGGTGAGGAGTAAGCAGCCCTGGGCATGTACGAGTAGTAGAAGCTCCCATATAAAAAGGCTGCGATCCAGAGGAGTAGGAGGACAAAACTTGACACAACAAAGCCCTGTACAACTCTCTGACGGGCACGTGACATCACCATGACGACAGCATCCCTGAGCCTCGGCAACCCCTCACCAATGAGCATTGACAGGTCTCCATCATCTCCTGGACGTAAAGAGCTGTCTTGATCCATGAAATCTAAACATCAGTAAACAAGGAAGCAGGTGGAACTTTTTAAAAAACAGAACAACTCATGAAGGGTTAAAATCACCACATTACGAGCATGTTTCAAAAGGTAAGTGTAAAGAATTAATTAGAAGTATCATACCACTGGCTCAGTCCTACAGTCTCTGTGGTTGAAATGTCTCGAGTGTCATCCAGAGTTAGCCTATCTGGTTCTTATTCAACATTTCCCTGAAACAGATAGATCAGGCGTTGTGTTAAACTCAACACGGTTGGTGATGTAATGATCTCATGGAGCCAGAGACAGAAGCAGCACTTTGATACACTGAGGGCTGTGAAACCACTGAGGCCAATCTCAGTCACAAGCAGAGGCCTCTGACGCCAGATGACTGAGGGGGACTGTGTCAGCAGTCACATATCACCCTGACTGTAGTGCATGTATCTAGAAGCAAAGAAGCTACTAATAAGAATTTGTTTTGACACAGTATGTGTTGTGTAATAATGGTGATGCCATTCATCACTATTCCTCAGTGGGCATCAAGTGTCTGTAAAGGACTCTGAGTGGAAGCTGATTTGTGATAGCTCTCAATCATTCTCCTATAGCAGCCGACACAGAATCTTACAGTCTAACCTAATACACAGGGTTTACTTGATGCCGTATCGTCTCCACAACACAAGTAGTAGCTACTCAGAGTACTGTCCGAGATGTACGACTGAAGCAGGGACTCTTTGACACATGTTCTGGACATGTAGATGTCTGGAACAGTACTGGAAATCTATCTCTATAGATTAGTTTATAAAAAGAATTGTGGGGGTGGAGATCCCAACCAACCCATGACTGACTTTACTGGGGACAGTTTCGCCAGTTATGAGAGGCAATTTTCAGTTTGTAAGACCAGCCCTGTTGCATTAAACAAATGGAAAAGTGAGGAGCCCCCTAGTGTGTCTCTATGGCTTAAAGAGTTCCCATCATACCTACCCTCACAGAAGATTATGTATAATCTCAGAGAAAACAACATTATTTTTTGAGAAACGCTGGGAACCTTTGTGAGCATTTTACACAACAGAACTTCTGAAGATGCAGATGTTTGATCGGTAATTGAAGTGAATTTTGTTTGTTGGGGGGGGGGGGATAATAAATGGAAAACTTTCTGCTAGTACTTTAATTTTTTTTTTTATTATTCATATTTTTTTATTTTCTCATTTCATGTAGCTAAAGTTCAGTGAGTAACTTTACTTAAGTATTGAAGTACAAATTTGAGGTACTTGTACTTCACTTGAGTGAAGCTGAAATGATCAGTTGATTAACCAATAAGTTGATTCACAGAATATTGGGAAAAAGTGGCAACTATTCTAATAATCTTCTTAAACATTTCATGGTTCCAGCTTCCCAAATGTGATTATTTGCTTCTTTTCTTTCTAATTATCTTGATTATTTTTGAGTTTTAGAGTCTCGGCTGGAAAAAACAAGCATTGTGAAGGTGTTACAGCGGCAATCTTTCTGCATTAATTCATTTTACTTTTTTCTTTTTTACTTACTTTAAGTATATTTTCCTGATTATAATTACTTTATATACTACTACCAGTAGACACTGATTTTAGTTCTACATTACGTATGCGGGACCTTTTACTTGTAACAGAGAATCTTAACAGTGCAGTATTAGTTTGTTTTTTAATGCTAAAAAAGCACTAACTTAATGTTAATGTATTGTCTATCTGCCAGTGTATTTGAGTTTTACAAGTTGGAAAATGACAGAAATAAACGTAACTAACAAACTTAACTAAATGATCTGATTACTTCATCTACCACTGCTTTTAGTTTAAATGATATTTAAATGTTAAAAGAGGAAGGGAGTAGGGACTTGCTCAACACATAAATGAACTCTGACATGCAGATTTTCAGATTACGAGTCATGCAGGCAAGGCCTGTAACATTTTTAACTCAAAATTCAAACCAAAACTTTAAGAAAACAGTCTATCTAAACCTCTGGGTGGTTTCCAACAGCAACATGCCTGCAGCAGTGCTCTTCTTGTCTTGTGGTAAAAACTCACCTCTGGTTTCTGCTGGTCAGAGATGAGCTGTTGGGAAATCACTTCTCCTTTCCCTGAAGTCTCTTTGTCAACACTCTGACACTGTCTGGATAAAATGCTGTTAACAGAACACTCCCCTCAACAAAATTACATTAGCTGCTGAGAAGCTGCCATTGGACAGCGTTTAGTCCATCCCACATGAAGAGAGACGCTGCTGCTGTTGCCAACTGGAACAGAGTTCTTAGTGTTGAACATGATACCGGCAACAAGGCTAAGGATTAAGAACAGGAGTTTATACTAAATCTATATGTTACACTACTAAAGCCCGATTGTATTGTTTATATTTAGGTGACGAGTAAGACACAAGAGTAACATTACAGAAAATCAAGTATGTGTAATAAATAACTCCCTGTAAGAATATAATACAGTAGATCGCTCATATTTGGTAATTGCTGTGTTTGGATAATTGGTAAAAAATGATAGTTACATTGCTGTCTGTGACAGTGTTTAATAATACTTTAATCTCATTAACAGGCTATATTATGATTTTATTCATTGCCTGTGTTTTTCACATCCCAAACACAGTCCATACTTTTATATGTTTAATTGCTGAATCGTTTATTTTCTTGGTTTTGCATGTGTGTTTTATTTCTCCATTGCTGCTAAATGTTCTGCAAATCTCTGATTTTCCCATATCACCCCTGATTTTGTGATAGACCTACTGTCCAATGATGCCCATAAATTGTCCCAAAATATTTTGTATGAAGGTATCTTAATTGACTGTACAAAGATTGCAGTTTACTTAGTTATACCTCGGCCTATGTCCTGCTAGCAAAGTAAAACTGATTATTTTAAAAGGTGGAATCACAAACAAAACAGCCATATCTTTACACTTCACGATCCTGCATTGTATAGAGAGTCTACTTTTTAAATAGCAGAGAGATAACATACCCTAATACCTGATGTAAACTGCTAAGTCATGTAGCTACTGTGCAAGAACCTATGCAGTATTTTGTTGAAAACATAAAAAAAGTAAATAAATAAATAACAGGGGGAAAGTGCAGAAATATCTGTGACATTGACCAGGATAAGTGTATTAGAGCATACATGAATGGCTGAAAGTGCAGATACAAATGTTTTGTGACCAGGGGCGTAAATATAGAGGCAGTGTGGTTGCACTGGGGTCCGTGGGGTGGAGGGGCCCGCAGAGAGAGTGGGCTCTTGCAGGTAATTCTGATTGCCTCCTTGAATATATTTATCTGTGTTCAAACAGGAATAACAATAAAAAACATTGCTAATTCCAGAAATGGTGCCATTTGCCATATATGTCCTCAACAAGACAAGCCCATTTATGTCATGGTTTTCTTTCTTTTTTTTTTTTTTAAAAAAAACACCAAAATATTTAAAGACGGGGGGGGGGTGGGGTGACATGCAGCAAAGGGCTACAGACTGGATTCGAACCTGGGCCCCTGCGGTAACAGCCTTGTATATAGGGCACCTGCTCTACCACTAAGCCACCAGCGCCCCCTGGTTTTCTTTTTATTTTCATTTTTTTTAAAATAGTCAGGAGCTATCTAAATTTGATGCTTTTTCTGCACAAGCTGTAAAATCTATAAATAACACCATGAAAAATGTTCTATCAAATAATACATTTTCTTTGATATTTTTGTCAGATATGCAGTGATGATTGCTGGGTAATATGTGGGCTGATGTTGTCCAATGTCAAGTCTCCATTTGTGTCAAGACTATACATGCATGATAGCGTGCACTAGGGCCAGTTGTAACATCCTTACACCACTGTTTGTGACCAATTATTCGTTACACTTTAATATATAATATATAGATATATATATGTCTAAAAACTGTATATAAGAATGTCCAGTAAAGACAATGGCTTTACGTACAGGGTGGATAAAAACAAAGAATAAAGAGAGCTGAGAATATAAAGGCAGAAACTAAAAAGTACAATAATCTCTCACCAAGAGGGGGCGACATCCTCTGGCGGAGCAGAAAAAAACCGCCAAAACGTCTTGTAGCGTAGAAGAAGACGCTTTCGTCCAATCACACGCAGCGACCGGCGCTACCCGGAAATGGTCCAATATTACATTTCATTTACAGAAAACGTTGGAAAAGTGCTGAAAGGTAATGTTGGGAGTTATATTTCTCAAATCGATATTTAAGTCGCTTGATAGTATGTTTAATAATGTTCACGAGGAACGGATGAAACATGCAAATATGACGAAATATTTATTAGAGGAAGCATGCTGTTCATTTTAGGGAAAGTCTGAACTGGTTGTTGTCACAGCTTCACCATAAACAAGCACGCATTAAACAAGGGACGGCTTCTGATACAAATATTACTATTTAAAATCATGTCAGAAAGCCTTCAAATTCGCTGTCAGTATACATTTAACTACATTTTAACAAACTGTCTGTGCTGTATTTACAGTTAGTAATATACTCCTCTGATAGAGCCAGTAGATACTTTAGAGATTACCTTCATATGTCTCAAATCACAGCAATAAATTTGAGGTTTACACAGAATACAGGTGTGTAATATGTTGTTATTCATGTGTGTGTCCTCTCCTGTCTCCTGGTTGCAGGATGTCCTGTAACACCAGTGTGACTCGTGTCCTTGTGTCATCTGAGGGCCAAGCACAGCGGGTCCCAGTCCAGTTGATGCCCTGTGAGATTGAACACAGTGGACCGGCCTCGGTCTCACAGTACCTCACTGCTACCACGAAAGATGGCAAACTAGGTACAGTCAGCCTCTCTACCAGTAGATAGAAAGCTAATTATTGTTAATGGTACAGTTTGCAGTTCATTGAAAACAGTGGTGGAGATAAAGCCCATAGTAATAATCACACAAACGATCACTATTTACTTAATTCTTACAAGATTATTTTTCTTAAAAAAAAAAAAAAAATCTCAAATCTTAATCTCAAGATTCAGAAGAGCAGGGAATTGGTTAGGTTTAGGATCATGTTTCAATTGGATAGTCTTGCCTGGAGAATATGTCAGAATGACAAACTTCCACTGGTTTTGAACCATGTTGCTTTACACTGTAACTACTGGTTCCAGTATGGGACATTTGCATCCAATGTCAATAGGGATGGGTATCCAGTCCAGAATTTTTGTGCTAATTAGTACTGGTTCTAGTTCTCAGAAAGATCCCAGTTTATCGTGATAACAGAGGGTATACGTTATTTTTCTGTACAAATAAATCAAAACAACATGACCATGCCAAATTTAGAATCCACAGCTTTTGGACTCGATTTAGGATGTTTCGATTTAGGACTCCCAAGTTGTCACATTACATTGAAATAAAAAGGTGTATCTCACATGTTATCCCACAGTAATTTTTAGTGTGGGAGGAAAACTGTCTCTAACAACAGTCCTTTTTGCATTTTTACTCATTTCAGAAAAGACAGTGTCATTCAGAGGGCGTGGGTTGAAGGGACAGGAGCTCAGCTGTCCACATGGCTACACTGGCTTGGTGCTAAAAGAGATCAACAAGCCCGGCTCAGACCAAGAGGTAAACATTACTGATGTCATCTTTCACGTCACAAAAACTATTTAAGTTTACCAGCATATCTTGTTACTATGTCTACATGATGGTAAATTATGTGTGTGTGTGTGTGTGTGTGTGTGTTTCTAGGACAGGACAGTGAAGGTAACCTCTGTGTTTGACAAGCTGACCTACTGGAACCTGGAGACGCCTCCGAACTCAGACGATACAGTTGTGATGGCGATGGATTGGCCAGAGCTGGCTGAGGCGGTGAGTTCAGCTGACTTTTTTTTTTTAAACTTTATTTAACCAGACAAGACATAAAGAACAAATTATTGCTTACAGTGACAACCAGACACTTTAAAAAATGCTTTTTTAAAATGAAAGACAAGACTAACCTGCGTTACCCAGAGATTCAATTTTTTTCTCAGTGTAATCAACATCACATGATCAGTGACGTGTCATTACACAGGATGATCAGAGTTATCAAGATTAATTGATGTTTAAACCACCATCACTATTTTGTTAATTCTATATTCCAGAAAGGGTTCCACATTTAAGTAATTTTTTGACAGTATTTTTAGGTTTTGTTGTGAGGAGATAATATATTGATATTTTGTCTCTTCACAGATCCACGGGCCAGTGGAAGACTGAAGAGGTTTCCGGCCACACTCAGTGAAAGAAAGGCTTATAACGAGTGTTATTCAGTGTTACTATAGCAGAGTAATGAGCAACAGATGTAATGTTTATATTTTTGTATATGTTCTTTTGTAGTGAAACACAGAAAATAAAAGATACTGCTGACTGGACAACCAGTGTGATTATGATTCACTGAAACAATACCTCCACATTGTTTCTACTTAACAGTGTATTCACAAGGTAACATTTAGATTTTGCACACTGGCTACCATGAAAGTCTTGGAAATGATCACAGACTGAACCGTCCCTTCTGAATATCCAAAACGCTTCAATTTGCGTGATAATACCAGTCAGTTTTCATCAGTACATACAGAAACTGTAGAAATGGTGCAGGACAACAAATTCTAAAGTGTCAAACAGTCATTTAGGCACATTTAAAGTTTAAATTTAAACATTTAAAGAAGTCACATGGGCAGTAAGAAATGCCAAACACATTAAGGGTGGATCCCCAAACTAACCCTGACGGAGAACGCCCAGAACACTCTATGAAATATGTGGCAAAAACATAAGTAGGATAAGAAAGCCATAGTGATCAGAGAATCTGGCTGACTTTACAGTAAACTCTTGTATATAATTGTGGACAGCTACTACAAATGCATTGATGGGTTGTCAGTTTCAGTTTGTATGGCTGACATTTTAATATTTCTGGGCCAGTTGCCTCTCCCCCATCAGACTTCTTGCTGCAATTTTCAAAGAAATAAGGTCGTGATGAAACAAGGGAAAGTAAAGGCCATTTGGCACAGCTGATTTTCTATGCCATCAGATAGAGTAGTGTGAATATCTGCTATTGATGAAGCAGCTTCATTAAAACTGATGCAAGGAAAAGCTTGTATTCCAGATTTCCATGGTCATGAAATTCCTGGAAATGTAATGACATTAGATAAAATGAATTTCAGGGTCTGGAAATGGTTTGGAATTAACAGAATTGACAGTAGTACATAGACCAGAACGGCATCATGTCATCTTCTAGGCTGCGCCTCCTTTTGGTTGGAAAGTATAATGCAGTCACATCATGATAGAGATCGAAAAATTCCAAAAAGCTGTAGTGTTGAGGGTTAACTAAGGCTTTTACACTGAGATTTTAAGCACATAAGATTCCTGAAAATTCACTGTCAGTGTGGAAACTTGCTAAATGATGCCGGTGACAGTTACTACTGATGGGTAGCTAACGTTAGCTTGAGTAGGACGCTGCTGCATCAGACTGTCTCCAACTACAGTAAATCTCAGCCTGTAGATCAAACATTTGGCTTTTAACACGTTGGAGATTTACAGACAGCACTTGGCCAAACGATACCTGAGGATTCAATCAAATATGTTAATTCATTTGGATGTGGAAAGAGTGAAGGGACATGATGGCGATCACCCTTAATTTAACAAGGTATCGTGAATGCTCAGGTTCAGGCAAGGTCACAAAACAATTATTAGACATGCCCATAAAAGAAATGCCTATTTAACAAGAAATGAATACATACAGAATGAATGAATTATAATTCAAACACATCAAATTGTACTGACACTTACAGGATCTTTTGTTATCTTTCCTCTAAAAAGGGGCGTGGCCCTGACGTTTTGCAGAGGACCCGTATGTGCCGGTCTGGCCTATTGGCAGCTAGTTGGCGCCAGTAATTTCTAATGAGCGAGTAAAGTGGAAATGCCTGGGAAGTGCGTGTTTAATTATGTATGGCTGTATCGCTATACAGGCACACCCATTTACACTACTTAAATTAAGTCATGGAAATAGAGAACAGTATCACAGAAAAGTAAAGCAATTGTTCTGACAGGTAAAAGTGAGTGAAAACCCTGTGTACTACAAGTTATAAAATGGCACTCTCTGATAATAATTTTAAAATTTGTGCAGGTTTCATTTTGTAAATAAAACACCAGACAGTACAACACTACTACATTTACAGTCAGTCAAACTTTGCTGGCACAGAGTCAAACTGAAAAGGCAGTCGTACAGATTACATGTCATGTAACTGATCAAGTTAAAATGCAACAGCTTTCCCTTATTTGTGTTCTGAGTTAATATAGCGAACAAAGTGAAGGATATCACACAACTCTTTGAAACATTTTTTAACATTATTGAATCTTCTTACAACAATGAAGTGTTTGATAATTTTCTATACTCATACAAATGTATGAATAATGATAAAGGAATCTTGGCTCCTCGTTTGACAGTAATTTTAGTTTTGAGCAGCACCACAATGCTTGTGCAACCATGTTTTTACCACGTTAGAAGTATTTCAAAAAGTACAATCTAAATTAAGACCATTTTACACGCCTCCGCCTCATCACGCCAGGATTACTGCCACTGCCTCTTTACTTGCTAGAACCAAAAAGACATTACTGATCAATTTTAATGCTTTTCATGGCCTCTGTTACAGCTATATCTCTGACCTTTAGGGCTTTTCACACTGCACAGCCCAGGACTAGCAGCAGTGTTAAAATGTCACCAGTAGCAGGGCTTTATTTGAGACGGGGCTAAAACATCAAAAAGAGATAAAACAGCTAAAAGAATGAAAAGTAAACATCTAGTGTTTTAACTTTTCCAGCAGCAGCAAATAGAGGAAATGTTGCTATTCTTGTTTTCATTAAGTTAGCTAGTGTGCTAGGTACCTAAGGTTTCTGACAGTAGTAGTTACCATTGTTACAACTTAAACATAAAGCACAGGCGAACTGGTGACAAAACCAAGAAGTCGTGTGATAGGACAACAAAAATGTGATGCAAAGCAGCTCCTTTTCAGCTCCGGCAACTTTTACCCTGTGTTTAGTCAATTTTCATTGGCTAACTCTGCTCTGGAGCCAACCAATAAGCCCTAAGTTAATGTCGATGTAATGATGATAAACCCCCAAAACTAATTTCTATTCATCAGAATTACGTGAAAAAAAATCCCTTCCCTTCATGCCTTAAAATGGCTTAGATTTAATTTTATACATTTGCCTTATTTAGTATGTGCAGATCTATGAATATGCATACTGGCCCCTACCACCATCTCCAGCCACCCCTCAGCCACCCAGCTGCAGCTCGAGCGCACCTGCTAATGTTACATAAACCATGTTCCCCATTGACAGCTCTGACAAGTTAAAATGAACCTGGCTCCTCCTCTGATAACAATCGTTTAATTTCCCAGTAGCTTTATGCAAACGATATGAAGAGCCTCACCCTGTGAGTTGACGAGATTGGTTCCTTAGGTTTGTGATGTAACAAACCTTGGCAGTCTGTGCGTTCTTGAGACTGTCACTGTAGTTCTCCGATCTGCTTATGTTGCTCATATGTCTAATAGTATTTTAAAAACACCATATTGACATATTAATAAGGTTTATAAGTTATAAGGGTAATACGTTTTCATTGGAGGAGGTCTTTAAGTCCTTTCTTAAAAAAATAATTTAATCAGAGAGAATTTTCCAATTTTACTGAGTTTCAATTTCCTTTCAATTGCCTTTTATTTCCTTAACAAGTTCCTATTCTTACCCTTTCCTACACTGTATTGGATTCAATACACCACATTGTTTTTTATCAGTTTTTTTTAACCTGATGATTTAATGACTTTTCTGTTTTTTTGCTGCCTTGTGAAGCACTTTGTCACGTGGATTTTGAAAAATGCTTAAAAATGCTTGATGCTTAAAAAGATTAGTATTATCACATTATTATAAAGGTATTAAAACTATTACAAACATATGCCTCAAAATGCCTCTTAAATTAAAAAAAAGAGATCAGATCAGTTTCAGGGTTAAGAGACAACAGTCACACATGAACATAAAGTGTTTAATGAATGAGTGCTGATGTCACTGCCACATCGCTGGTGTTTACTCTGTGTGTGAGTTCTTGTATTTCTGTACTTATAAAGGCCTGGGTGTCTGCAAGGTGCAAATTTGAAAATATTAAGACAATATTTAGACACATTTGAAGATATCACCTTGGGCTTTGGGCAACTGTGATGTGTGACATTTTTAATAACTTTATATTTCAAACAAATAATTGAGAAAAGAACCAACAAATTCATTTGAAAATGAACTGTTTGTTGCAGCTCTGCTCAATTTAGGTTTGAATATAGAATTAGAGTTTGGTTATTAAGTTAAAGTTTAGGTATGTATGTGTGCATGAGTATAGAAATATAGTAGTGTGTGTTGGTGTGTGTTAGCTAAGAGGTGGTGGTGGTGGTGGTGGTGGGGGCGGTTGTGGTGGCAGTGAGGGGTCCCCGTCTGCCTTGCTGCGTTTGGCTGGCAGTGTGTGGTCATGAGCTTTGCGTATGTGTCTGTACAGGTCACCCGATTGCGTGTAGCTCCGGTAGCAGTAGCGACATTCATAAGGACGTTCACGTGTGTGCACGATGGCGTGGCGCCTTAGTGTGTATGTACATGAGAAAGTCTTTCCACATACTCCACATGTGGGGACGTCCTCCACAAAGTTCCCCATAGAGTCCTGGAAGTCCTGGAAGTAGGCAGGAGGGTCTGAATGCTGCTGAGCTGCAGACGGAGGAATGTGGGCGAAGGAAGAAGTGTCCTGTGAGGAAGGCCCGGCACCAGAGGAGGAAGAGGAGGGAGAGAGGGGGAAGGAATAGTCATTTGAATGGGAGGTCATTTGTAAGAGGCCCTGTTGGTGGGAGGAGAGAAACTGAGGGCTGTGCAGCTCCTCTTCTTCTTCAAACTCATCTTCTACTTCCATCACTTGTTCTCTTTCTCTACTTTCCTCTCTCTCCTCCTCTAGCTCTTCGTCAGATATAACAATGGCCTCCACTTTGACTTTCACATTCTCTCCGTCATCATTGTCTGTCCTCGCTCTGCCCATAGGAGGGTGAGATCTTTCACTTCTAGCAGTGGGTGAAGCTCCCACATTCCCCTCAGGTGCCTTCGGGGTTTGGTTCTGAGGAGCAGAGTGGAAGTCCAAGCTTTGGCGTTGGAGCGACACAGCGCTCTGGATTCGAATCTGGGGAAATGCATGCAGTGGTGGCGAGTGTGTTGGGTTATGTGAAGTTAGTGCTGATGGCTGGATTAACATGACCATCTGTTGTCCTCTGCCTGATGTACCTCTGTGGTCAGCCTCTGAGGGTTTGCTTACAGAGTCACTGTGTGGCAGTCGGGGTGCGTCCTGCTGGGGGCTGGGTCCTGACTGGGAATAAGCAACTACTGACCGACCACTAGCCTGGCTCACTGGCACTAGGGAGGAAGAAGATGAGGAAGGCTGCTGGTTACTGCTGTGGCTGGTGAAAGAAAGAAAGCAAGAAAAAGAGAAATACTGTAAACCGCTTTTTAGTAACAAATCAACAACAACAAAGAAACAAACCATATGAAGTCCACTGTGACACAGAGCAACAACCTTTATTTTTTTCCAAGTTAAATAAGTTTAAAAATTCAAAACAGACCCACACCTGTATGTCTCAGTGGTGCTGCATGGGCTACAGAGAGCTGACCCCTCTCCAGGAGCTCAAGTCCCCAGCCTGGCGTGTCCCCCTGAGGCAGGGGCAGACTGACCTGTGATGACATCCTGAACAAGCTCTCCACATGGGAGCAGAGGAGGGGCGTCCATGCCTGGCTGCGTGGTATCAGCGAGGTCAGGGCTCAGAGGAGTCTGAACTCGTGCCTCTGATGACCCCCCACCAGTCCTCCGTTCACACTTCACAGGCTCCAACTGACTTCTCTCTGATGAGAGTGGCGCTGCCATGGCAACTGGATTCAAATGATCTCCTGCCATGGCCACCACAGGCTCTTCTCCTCCGTCACCCCCACCCCCTCTTCCTGTTTCTACTGCCCTCCTTGCACCAGCGCTCTCTTCAGATCGAGTGCTGTCTGCCTCAGCCAGAGGTCCTCGTCTCTGCAATCGTCTCTTGCAGACTCTCACCACCTCGTTCATGTGCAGAAAGCTTGCAGCCGCCAATATGTCCTCCACGGGTGGAGACTCACCCTGCTGCAGCACACCTTCATAGACAAATTCCAAGAGCAATCCAAACGCAGCAGCCGTGACAATGTCGCTGTCGAGTGTGACAGAGCTGCTGGTGCCGTTTCCACCAATGACCCCTGGAGAGTCTGAGAAGAACATGTGGAAGAAAGGCGAACAGGAAGCCAGAACAGCCCTGTGAGCCAGAAAACGGGATGAGCCCACCAGGACTGTGCAGTCACAAAGGAAACCCCGCTGGCGCTGTGAACGCAGAGCTGCCAGCAGCTGCTGGGAATGCTGCGGGAACTCCATCACCTGAGCAACAGAGACAATCCAAATGAGAGAAAGCAGAGACATAAAGAGACAATGGCTACAGAGCTGTCTGTAGTGATTTATGTCAGTGACAGCAGCACTGAAACAAATCACTACACACAGGTATGTGGCCAGCTGTATCAGGTATCTTGAAAGGTATTTTTGGGTAGTTAACAAGTCTTGTCTTTGGAAAATAATGACACAAATCTATTGAGGAAATATCCATAGAGAGTCATTTCATCTAAATCACAACCCCCATGTTTTTCCACCCAGGCATATTACCATGTAGATAGTTTTTCTTACAAGAAGGAAGAAATAGTCCCATTATTATGGGGTGCTGTATGACCTACTGAACAACAATCTGGTATTTGAGAAGAATTGAAAGAGAGCTAATAATGTCAGTATTTTCAACAACTAATATTACAAGGTACATCAGCATTACCATCCTTGAGAGCTGCACACAGGTTATAAACAAGCATCCACCACAGTGGATGGTTTGTATAGCTACTGCCTGTGGTCTTGGCATTAGTCCTGCTTCAGTGGCAGACTCAGATTACTGAGGAGCAGCGGTGAAAAAAAAAGCACCTGCTGGATGCAATAAGGCACCAGTGTGCAACAGTTTTCTAGAAATCAGTGCAGTCACTGGCACTGCATTGTGTTTTCTCCACAGGAAGTACACCCTAGGGGGCACTTTATCTACCCCCAGCGGTTGGGGTAAGGCATTTCTGTTATTTCAGGACACTGGGACCTCTGTCAAAGGATCCTGGGATCCTTCCCTGGCACTTTTTTTTGATAAACAAGCTCTATTTTGATGCTATTTATGCACTCTGGCAACCTATTTACATTAAAAGTTAAATTACAATTAAAATTTTTGAGCAGTGTATAACAACTAAAAAGAAAAATATTTTAGGGCACAATTTATAAAAGAATAAGTCCACATAAAAAAGCAGGGAACTTACGTTAGGTAGGGCTGACTTCTCTCTTTAAACACTGTTTATTGACAGTTGAGAGTCCGTTAACGTATCTAACGTTACGTTTCCATGGTGACCTGCCCGAAGTCCTCAGTCCACTGGCAGCTTTGTGTGAGAGCTGAATCTTAATGTGGAACAAAGACGACAGTCAAGGACATGCATGTGAAAAACAAACATGACAAACAGCCTGAAATGTATTAAAGAAAAATCCAAATTATCCCAAATGGCGAGACTGTTAATCCAGAAAGACAGAGGCAGAGAACAGGCAGCTCCAGCTCAACTATGCTAACATCAGTTAGCCAACTTAGCTCAGCCTCTGTGTAAAATCCCAGCTCCAGGAGCTCCAGTAACCGCAGCTTTTGTGTTTCAATATATCGACACGAGTTGTGAGATGACGTCCTCATAGCCAGCACAAATTCTGAGATGCGACCCGTCATATTTCTCATACATAAGATGACTATTTTCTTACCTGTAGACAGCAGCTGTCTGTTTTCTTCCAGGACAAAATGCAGCTATTCCTCGGTGGTGCCGGGGGACACCGCAGCTCCGCGCGCCACAGTGCCACCTACAGGCGAACAGCGAGAACAAACAGGAAGTGTGGGAGACCAAACGTTTGTTTACAGGAGTTCACCGACAACATGTGTGATCTTGTGTGGCGCCTTGCTGAATTAATCAGTACTATATAGCTTTTTCATATCATGATCTGAATAACTGAGCTGCTTGTATTTAAATGGACAGTGGCAGAGGAGCTAGAGGAGGCAGAGGAGGAAGAGGAGGGAGAGGAAGGAGAGGAAATCGTGGTGGAGAGGTGAGAGATTTTAACCCTTATAAATTGGGACATTGCCCCATCTCTTTAATAGTTCTGTCACTGATTTCTGACCCATGACACCCCTGTATTTGGTATCAAGACAGGCAGTATGAGTTACTTAGTATGGTAAAGTCAAGGTCCTAAATTTAAACCAGAGCTATAATTAGAGCTAAGCTCGAGTGTGTGTGTGTGTGTGTGTGTGTGTGTGTGTGTATGTATGTCTGCTTTGAATAATGTCTCCTCCCCTACCAGGACAGAGATGTCCGCCTGTCTAAATCAATGTCTTATGCTCTTCGCCATGGAGCCAAGCAGATGGGTCTTCAGATGGGTACAGGTGAGCTGCTCACAATCTGGCCCAGGTAACACAAGTGTCTCTTCAAAAGCACAAAAATTAAAAGCAGTTGTCTCAGATTCAGTGCATGAATGGTGGACTTTAAGCATTAGCCAACCACTTAAACGACTTTAACAATGACAATAGGACCAGTTTAATAACAAATTCACACAAGAAGGCATGTTGCCATTTAGGGCTTTATGTATTAATAGAGACCAATGCCTGTCACTTCTTACTGTCAGAGATGACCACCCAAACTTTTCATACAAGATGCTATGATGACTAGAGAATGGTTCCTGGTGATAAACCTTAGTGGTAGACTGTGTGTGATAAACTGAATCTAGGGGATTAAGAGTGGAGGTAGAGACGTATCTATAGATAACATCACCATAATCCAAGACAGACAAAAAGATGGCTACAATTATCCGCTTCCTGTGAAGGATTGAAAATTGATCTCTATTTCTGTTCAAATATCCATTTTTTTTGTCAGTGCTAAATGTAACTTTTTGATCCAGCCAGATACCAGGATATTAATACTCTCAAAACTATGACCATTCAGTGTGTTTATAGTACACGGCATCTCTGGCTGTAGAGAACAGCATGTAAGTAGTCTGTTCTGCATTCAGGACTAATTTCAAATTAAAAAGTGCATAATTTAAATGAAATGATCAAAGGCTTGTTGTAGGATTTCAGTGGCTAAGTGTCCAGTATTAGCATAACAATACAGACCTGTATCATTGGCATAAAGATGGGCACTACAATTTGTTATAGTGGATGTAATGTTATATATTATAGAATATATACAGTCAGGTCCATAATTATTTGGACAATGATACAGTTGTCATCATTTTGGCTCTGTACACCACCACAATGGGTTTTAAATGAAACAATGAATACCTGCTTAAAGTGCAGACTCTCAGCTTTCATTTAAGGCTTTTTTCAAAAATGTAGTATGAACCATATAGGAATTACAACCATTTCTTCACACAGTCCCCCGACTTTAAGGACTCATAAGTATTTGGACAAACTAACATAATCATCAATTAAACAGTCAGTTTTAATACTTGGTTGCAAATCCTTTACAGTCAATGACTGCCTGAAGTGTTGGACACATAGGCATCATCAGATGCTGGGTTTCTTCCCTGGTGATGCTCTGCCAGCCCTTTACTGCAGCCGTCTGCACTTCCTGCTTGTGTTTTGGGTGTTTTGCCCTCAGTTTTGGCTTCAGCAAGAGAAACGCATGCTCAGTTGGATTCAGGTCAGATGATATGACTTGGCCATTGCAGAACATTCCACTTCTTTGCCTTAAAAATGTCTTTGGTTGCTTTTGCAGTATGCTTCAGGTCAATGTCCATCTGCACTGTGAAGCATCGTCCAATGAGTTTTGAAGCATTTGGTTGAATCTGAGCAGATAATGGTGCCCCAAACACTTCAGCTTTCATCCTGCTGCTCTTGTCAGCAGTCACATCATCAATAAATACAAGAGAACCAGTTCCACTGGCAGCCATACATGGCCATGACATAACATAATTTTCTTTTTCAGATGTTTTTTGAATAACATTATGTAGATGATGATTATAGAGATGAAAGAAGGTTGTTCCAAAGAGATGGTCCTCTGTATTATGGTGAGTATTGCTTGATGTTGGTTTTAAATGACAAAGAGGGCAGCACAATATTTCCCTTTGTCAGCAGCAGATATATATATTCATTCTTTATTTCAGACCCAGGGGGATCCATATCACAATAAAAAACACAGTAAAAAAACAGCAGAGTAAAAATAAGAAAGAAAAATAACAGCATTTGTAACCAAAGTAATAGCAGTGACAGAGCCAAGTTTAGCTCTGAAACCAGATTGGTTTGGACTCAACACAGAATCTCTTCAAAGGAGTGATTTGAGCTGATTACTATCTAATGACTCCGGGATTTTAGCAAAACAGGACAGTTTGGAAATTGGCCGACGGTTATGAAGATCATTCTTATCACCACCCTGTGCAGTGGGATTCTCGACCTGAGGGATAACTCCAGTAGTGATGGAGAGATTAAAGAGAAATTTGATTTGATCAGCAATAAATGAGGCACAGAGCTGCAGAAAATAAGGATCTAGTTCATCCTCCCCAGTTGCTTTGCTGCAATCGATGGCTTGAAGTGCCTCCTAAACAACAGAGGAAGTGAAGGCCTGTAGGGTGAACTGGGAGGTACGGTTTAAGGAGGGCACATGACCCAAAGACATACTGTTGAGAGCACATACTGGAGACACCATGTGATTATTATATGTAATAATGCTAAAATGTATCAGTTATGAAACTATATTAAATTACACGTTAGGCTGCTTCACTTTAACATCATGTTTGTTTAACACACAACAGGTGTTTCGTAATTGCTTTACATTTAGGATCCATTTGGATTTAGAGTTATAGGCAAAGCACCAAATAAAACCAGATCATATGCTATAGGCTTACCTTTCTGGGCTCCTACAAAACCACCATCTGTATACTTAGTTGCACACATTGCTTGCAGACTGTAAATGTAATCCAGTGCAGCATGCAAGGCAAAGACTTAAGTACAAGAGAGAAAAATCCAAATGTGGAAATGTGACCATCGCCAGCTGTTATCCTCATAGATGGCTTCATCTTCGTGGAGGAACTTCTGGCTCACCCGCAATTCCGCTCATACTCACTGGAAGATGTGGAAAGAGTCGTGGCCACAAATGACAAGCAGCGCTTTAAGCTTCGCCCCCACCCAGAGGACGGCTGCCTGCAGATTCGAGCCAGTCAGGGCCATTCGGTACAGGTATGTACACCTGCGAAGTATCACACAGAGAAGGGGATATTTAATTTAATCAGCAAACCAGCATGCTAGGATGTCTTATCCCCCAGGATATAAGAAGTGCTCAGTATATTCAATCTGCACTAAAATTAGTTTTAGATAGAAACATTTTTCTGTCTCGTGGACCAGCTGCCTTTAATTTCAATAACTCAAATTAACTTTCTCAGATGGAAAATGAACTCAGGGAGATCCCACAACAGCTCACAACACGCTCAGGTGTTGTTCCATCGACTGCATACGAATGTAATAAAACAATTTACACCTTCAAAATATCAATATAAATCTAATTTTCAGATGACAGATGCTGTTAGTCCTCTGACAATCAGCTTAAAATGGAAATCTCATTTTGATCCTCTAAAATCCATTTTAGGTTAACGTACAAAAAGACACGGGGGAATAGCTCTGACTGTGGTGCTAAAATGTGTCTTCACTTTTAATTATGTTTATTTTATTCGATTGTGAGTTTTTTTCCAAATGTGTTGCAAAGATTGACGTTTCAGAGGAACATGAGGTGTATACAAACACTCACTGGCCTTGGATTTTAATCCTGCCCTCTGTTTTTCTATCTGTCTTCCCCTGAATAGTTACATTTCACTACAAGATCTTCAGAACAAGTTAAGCAACAAAATTATAATGCCACTCAGATTCTCCCAAACAGGAAGGTTATTTATTTTTTGTATTTTACAATTTAAACTGGACCAAAAACCCAATTTTGTTTGTGTGTGTGTGTTTTTTTTAATTGTTTTCATATTGAAGGAATGCATAAACACAAGAGCTGGTGTTTATACAAAATACATCGCAGATAGCCTGACAAGGATTTTTGAAATATGACACACAGAATGGCACACAAACAACGGTTCGATGACAACTAACATTTCATTTTTAAAAAGATCTTCTCTATAGTTGTCAAAAAGTGGAATTTTCTCCTGGTGTGTTGCGTTCCCCAGCTCCCTCAGCCACATTTCAAATGTAATAACCTTTTCAGATGTTGCAGCAGCTGTTGCAGCTTTCTGGCTAACAGTGTTGACAGGGAAATACCATGAGCCTCATACTTAGTCTTCACACTACCTGGTCTCAAAATCCCAAACAGTGCAGTAAGTGGGACTGGACTACATTCCTTAGCCTTAGCAAAAAAGCCAAACAACTGTGTACAACAGCGTTTGTATCACATTATGTCTTGCATCAGGTGAAATACCATGATTATTCTTTATACAAATCTCCCACATCTAACCTGTGATTTCCAAGAAAAAAACCCCCACCTAAAATGCTGTGTTAATACGGGCCGCATCGTTGTGTTCAGGTCGTGGATCTGGAGCTGAAACCAGTCCTGGCTGGTTCTCCAGACTGCCCTGCTGAGGCTGTTCATGGCTCCTACCTCCGCAACTGGAGCTCCATCCAGCAGCAGGGCCTAAACCGCATGAAGAGGACACACATCCACCTGGCACCAGGCCTGCCAGGGGAGGAGGGCGTCATCAGTGGTAAGCTGTATGTGTGTGTCTGAAAGAAATCAGCTGAACATTTAGACAA